AACTGAAGGGGATATTTTTACGTTTCTCGTTAAACGCTTGGTGATTAGGTTTTAGTGATTAGGGCCACCTGCTTTTAAAAATTTTCTATTAAACATAAACTTTAATAAAAAAATTTAGAGAATCAATTTTTTAAAACAACTTATTCCCCCATATTAACTTTATGGAAGAAAATCAAACTTTGACGGAAGCTCCTGTGATAAAAATTTCAAAAAATGAAAACCACTTTGAAAAACTTCAGATTAAGGCTTTTTTTTGATACCGCAATTTGTGACACTTCAATCATTGATATCGGTCTAAAAATGAGGGATTAGTTATGTTCACAAATGTCGGCTTAGTGCATTATTATACATAAATAAAGATGACATTTGTTTGACATAGATATTTGACATAGATGACATAGATAAAAACATTTGTTTTTAAGAAACCTGTTTTTTTTTCAAGGTAATGTAGTTTTTTTCGCGAAATTGTTTTGAATTTATTTCACCGATGCAACTAACCTGCGGGTTTCCCAGGACACGTGCTTTTTGTAAATGGTAGATTAAAAATATGTAATTAATTTAAGATTTTAAAGGTGGTTTGGTGTGTTAAAATTTCATATTGAGTTTTCCAAATTAAAAATGTCGATTTAAAATTGTGTTGAGTTTAGTCAAGTTGGTGATAATAGAGCTAGCTGTCTCTCCTAATGGCTATCTCATCCAGCGGCGGAGGAAGTTTTATTGTCTATCTCAGCAGTAACGATTCAACTTTTCCAGGCACAAGTTTCTTTCGTTTAGCTTTTTAAAGAAGTCGAATAATAAAGTAAAAAAGCAATCTAAAACTAAAGTCCGGAGCATCAGGAGTTATAAAGTTAGTAGGGAATTGGATCAAAATTTTACTTATTATTAACTTTTGCGCTTTTGTGTATCGTTATAGGTGTTGACTCTTATAAAAATCGCATTTATTTGTTAAAACAAAGTACCTATCATCCAGTTGTAAATTATATTTATGGTCTGTATAATTTCGTGTAGTGGATTAATGTATTAATATCTGTGTACTATCCAATAGTAATAGTAAGATGCGTTTGCAATGAAACTGAACTAGTTCACTTCAACTTTATATATTTCAGCACTAGAAAGTAGATATTCTCCATTAAAACTGATATCAAAGAAAACAACCCTTTACTAAGGTTTAATTAGAAGCAAGGGAAAACGAAAAGCTGATTTCCCTCAGTTTTTCTTTCCTTGTCCTCAATCAGTTCTCTATTTGCCTACAACGCTATTTTTTTCAAACAATAATGTAAACAGAAAACAGGCATTTGCGTCGAGATGAAAAGGATTCATAACTTGTACCGACAGTAATTTTCCGGCACTTCCCCAATTCATTATTTTCGTCCGCGCAAGTGAGATTTGGCGTTTCTGTGGTCAAATAGGCCTCACACATGGATCTTGAGTGCACAACAAAAAAATTTACCTTTGGAACTTGATGGTCCATGTTTTGCTATAGATAAAATGCTTATCTGTGTTTTCTCTCTCCTTCACTTTCATTACACGATTCTCCCTTTCTGGACAGTCGATTTGTTTACACAACTTAAAATGTTCGCTACCGATCGCCACATATACCACAGACCGAGGTATACATTTTAATATTTCACATACACCGGGTGTCACTTGGTCAACAGTACACGCAGACTATGGGCCAGTGATGCAGCAAAGTAAAAATCAGATTTGCCAACATGACGTCACTAATCATCATATCCACAGACCAAGTGACGCACATATGCGACAGACATCCCTGTAGACCACTGCGGAGAGTTCAATGCCTTCAAATAGATCGTTATGAAGATATTAGCCTTTTAATAACATTGGAAACTGACGCAAATATGCGACGTCAGTCTATTTTAATGTGACTAGCTGTCGCATATAGCCTATGCGACGGCAGTCTATGGGTAGAAACCGGCCGTCGCATATGTGCTTATGTCGCTGGTCCATAAGAATGAAAAATTTAGTACTATTGCGGTAGCGAACGTGTTAGATTGTATTATTTAATTAAGTACTGTTCACTTGTTCTTTAATATATACGTGATATAGGTTTTCTTCAACGAAGGCTATTTGTTTATTTGCCTACAACTTTTAGTTTTCAAACTGTACGTGGTGACATGTTGTAAGCATTTTATTGATCTCTGAATCCAAAACTGTTGTGAAACTCATTGACCTCCAAAACCACAAAACCTAGCACATTACACATTTTCATTGTATCCCGATTTACCATTTATTGGCATCTTTTAGAATTTTATACTAGGCCTTGTAGTTTGGAAATTCAATCTTGTTCACATTAATACTCCGATTTCAGAGTCAATATTCAAATTATATGATGGCACAAAGTATGTCGCGTTTAAGAAAATGTGTTTTGCCAATTAGATATAGTTGGATCTGTTGCAAGAATTCTACTTAATATAGTTAATATACTTATATACAGTTTTACTTTTATAGGTGTTGCATCTTAAAAAGCGACACCTAACATAAAAATAGCTTTATTTTATTCAAGAGCCAAAAAAATGTTACGAGCTCCGAGCGAAATTTGAAATTCTTCAGATATTGCCAACGACAAAAAAGTAAACTGCTGCGACTCTCTCGACACCTATTGCAGTACAATTGTGCCGGGATGGAACAACGCGATGGAGTATAAATTTAATAACAACGCGACGGTGAACTCAATAACAGCGAAACAGCTGACCGACTCGCCTCTGAGACTGAAGTGCTACAGCTGTAATGTGTGGAACATCGTTTGTGAGGTAATTCTATTAGCAACTGACAATCTAAAAACATCATGTTGCAACAATACAGTCTTTCTAATATTTTCCAATTTATAAATAACTCAGTATAATTTGAGATTAATAAGTACGTAAGTTAACCCCAAAGTCCCAAGATGGGTAAAGTTATGCAGTGGCGGGTTGTAGCCGGTGACTTAGTACTCGTTGCCTTCATTATACATTCATCCCCCGACGTAAAACAGGCCTGATAGCTGGTGTAAGCTCTCTATTATCTACGTAAATTTGAAGCATTAACACCTTTCTTGTATCAAAGAATATGGAAGGTGAATAATCATCAATGAATCATAAGAACACATCATAAGAATAGGTTGAATAATCATCAATGTATATCATATCACATTATATTATACGTGGTATTGTGGATATTTATAGGCATGCACTGTGGATATGATACTCCCTGGTGTGGATTAACGTCCGCACGAGTGAGTACTACGACTATCCGCAGTACTATCCTGATAATTAGACCAATTCGTATATACCAAGGAAAAAAATTAGGTTCGGATTCCACTATAAACTGTAGGTCCCTTAACAGCTATGTCTAAAGAATGTCGGCCTTAGTCACTAGCAAGACTACAAGATCGCGCCACTCATACTACACTCATCTCCATTAATACTTGGCTTAAAATACCTACTATGTATGGTCGACATTTCATTGAACAGTATTAACAGTATTTGCGATGTATGTCTTGAATACAAGTTTTCTCAAATTATTTAGAAATATTTTTAAGAACGCAGCCTGATCAGTTATATAATTCCACGCTAGTATATTCCGCAAGAAATTATTTGCTCTTATTTTACCCTACAAAGTTAATCTTTCTTTCATTATTTGCCCAATAAAACATTGAACGATTATTGGAGCTAATTTTGTTTTACACTTAAGTAGTTGGCACAAAATATATTCTGAAACAAATTACAAACTTATACAGTAAGATTAGTTCTGGATTACTTATGATATAACAAACCCATTTTCAGCCCCTGTTAACTTTTACGTTATACTAGAAAACAAACCTAGGTTCTGTATACAATACTACCTTAAAATGTGCTACATTCTATGTAGTCTTTGTTTAAATATCCAATCGGCATTGTGTAAGCTTCTTTGTTATGAATACAAAGAAGTTTTCCTATCCCTATGAAGCAGCAAAATACCAAAATGAATTTATTTGCAGTTGAAACATTTCCTTCGGTAACGACAAATATAAATCAAATTCTCTTCAATTATTATAAGGAGCAGCGATGATAATATTTAAGACTATAGTTTTGCCACTTGTAAGTGATAAGCCTATCGTTAGCATTATCATCATAGCCCAGCCCGTCCGCTAAACACGTATCCTATAACCGATGTCACAAGCCAATTGTGTCAATAACATTCGGATTATACTTGGCCACTCTCATTCCATTTGTGCAGCTATTTTATGACTATTACCAAAACATGTATGCAGTACGATTGTTTACTGTCCGAACGTTATGTGATTTTATGTAACTTTTCATATTTACTGTTTTAGGGAAAATGTGTTAGCCAAATAATAAGTGTATAGTATAAAAACTCCCGGGATGGTTAAATATTTCAAAACATAATACAGATGGTACACAGTTACATTTTAACACATTATTCAGTAAGACCTACATTATTATAAGCATATTAGTGCATAACAGGCTTACCTTTCCAAGATTTAATTGGCCTAGCTTTGTATGAGGCACTTGTTTAGTTATACTTATAAATGTATACTTTTCATTGAAATGGTGACCATAAAAAGTAGGTATTTTATTATACTGAAATCTGAGCTTAACTCACACCAAAACAAAAGATAACATAAAGTAATGTGGAACGTTTTTGCTATAGTACAGGATTTTCTTTTGAAACTATATGTAGGCTTTCAAATACAATATAAACAATAATAAAACAAAATTGTTTACAAATAGTTAACATCCATCTAAATGATCTTATAACACAATATGTGACGATCGATCGTATTATGGTATCGCCTGAAGTTCTGAGTTCAAATCCCATAAATCCCCAATTGAATTTACCCAAATGATAATGCCGCGACTCTCTAGGGCTGAAGTAATGTGACAACGGTTCAGAGCTAGAGACTAGCGTTCTAGGGTATAAAAATAGGTAAACACGTAAATTGTTTGTATTTTTTCAAACTTGTAACGAAATGATTCACTCAACAGAATGTTCTGTTTCAGGGCTCGAGCTCGTCACAATCCCCCAACAATGACGGGCTGACGCGACAACAGCTAGATCTGATACACCAAATCATGCAGCAGACTCAGCAACAGGCAGCAGCACAGAAGCAGCAGAACAGTGCATCTAGCAGCAGCAACAGCAGCAGTAGCAGTAGCAGCAGCAGCTCGTCTAGCAGCAAGACTTCCTCAGCGCCTGCCTCGTCCTCCTCGACGTCTGCCGCAGCCTCGTCCACCGTCCCTTCAGCCTCGTCCAAAACAAAGACGTGGACTGTTCAGGTAAGGACTGACTCGCTTCATTACATTTTGTTTGTATGAGGGTCAGTAGATTTAATATGTCTGCCTGAAGTCTTACATGATCTATTATGTATCTCAACAGAACATCAAAACGCAAATTATACTTCTTTGGTGGCTGACCTGTCCAAGTTATTTGAAAAATAACATTATTGAGTTGACACTGACAAAATACCTTTCTCTTTTGCATAGGGGTTCCTTTAACATTCAAAGAAGAGACTAAATTCAAAGGAACCGATCTATAAAACATATTATATACAAGCGAAAAATTCCAATGAAAGAATCATGTGGTAACTTTTAGCAAACTAATCAGTTTACCTTCTTTAGTCCTCTATATTTATCAGTATGGATACATATTTTTGGTTTATAACATGTTAAAACCTCAAACGGTACAGTTATTCTTATGATCTTCAAATCCAAATAACCTTATCAAGAACAATTTTAACAAGTTCACAACATTATTTCGATAGATCTAAATCCAATTTAACTTTAAATTGAAACAGGGTGTTTGTGTTGAAACGAGTTGTAACTGACAAACACCCACTCGTATTAATGATGATAAATTGAGTGCCAGAGCCAAAAACAAGATCCGACGGCGCGAAAGTTCCACGGCCAGCTGTAGGTTTGTTAATTTCACAAGTTGGTCCGGACACGCATCGCTCTAACGACACATCTTGGCGCGCGCACTTTAAAAGCTCCGTCTCAACTTACCCATTAAACCAAAGAACCGCTTGAAACAACTTGTCGACCCTGGGGTTTCAACTGGCTATCTCTTTAAATAAATCATTAACTTCACGCTGCTTCTCAACGAGATGTGAACTTTTTCAGTTAATTTTAGCTTAGGTCAGGGCTGAGCTGTTCTTTCAAGTGGTATTTATTTTGTTTTAACCCTTCACTTTAAAACCATATAATAATGTATGAATATGAATACATTCTATCATAAACGGTTTTAAAACTGTGCTACTGCCACTGTGTTACTATGATGAATCTGTTCTGTGTGTGTATTTTACATAAAAACTGGGAATGCATATTAACAATCGATACATTTATATCGGTGATATTAATATGTTTTTGTTAGGTATTATAATCGATCAAATGTCTCTAATCATCTTCTGACTATGTTTTGTGAAATGCAATAGTTAATAATTAAAGGTTAAAATACCTGGTCCTTTACTTCCTTGGCTCCTTTACTGGACTACACGTTTCGATGTAGTAAACACATCATCATCAGGTCACAAAACTTCATAAAAAATAACAAATGAACAGATTTAGGCCTACATCATTACTTTTTAATATTATGTGTGTTTTTGTTAACTTTGAAGTGACCATCACTACAATGGTTTAAATCTTTAAGTTTTGTGACCTGATGATGATTTTTTCACTACATAAAAATATATAGCCCAGTAAAGGAGCCAAGTATTTTGTTCACAAGGTATTTTAACCTTTCTACAGTTTTGTCAACGTTATTTGGTATAAAAAACACAGTATGAAGTAACAATTAATTATCTAACATTTTAGTGTTCGCGACCTCCCTAACGAGGTATTGTACAAGGCAACGGAAAGAAACTTTATTTGCTGAATTACTGACCTAATGTCTTGTTCGAAATTAGACCATTTTCATACTACAGAGGTATTAAATCGTTACGTTCCATATTTTTGATGAGAGGATGAAGGACACTTGGCCAGTCCTCCAGTTTGGTGACTAACACCTGTCCCGTCCTAGCCGGTCCTACAGGCCCAGATGTGTCCAGTCATTTATTGTCCATTGTCTGCGTGAAGGGATGAGGGTATTAATCTCAGGGAACAGGTTCAAATTCGCAGACTTTCTTTTAATTATCCCCGACCCACATGTTGAGACCCCTCCAACGGACTGACACCGACTGGTTAGACGTCTGGCAGGGTTGTCATTGTGGGAGAATATTGCGCAGATGGGGACAACACAATCTCTGCCTTCATCACTAACTCGCAAAGGCTCTAAACTTACTGGCTCAAATCTATATTGTAGAATATCTGTAATGTTTCATGTACATCCAACATTATACAATTCATTAGCAAAATTGTTCATTGAAAGTTGAACTGTGTGGTTAACGAAATATGGTTGCACTACAATGCATAACTTTAATTGATTTCGTATAAACTCATTTGTTAAATAATAAAAATATAAGTTTATATCTCACACATAGCAGACTCACACCTGGTTTATCATGTCTTATAACCTTGAGAAGTATAACCATTTTATGTAGGCCTACATGGCAAACCAACAATTCATAGTTATATGTCAATACGATGTATGCTGAGATAACAATGCACAGCAGTAATTATGCGACACACACACACACACACACACACACACAGCACGGCAGTACTGTTCTGATGTAATGGCCTTGGCTGGCAGTGTGCACGATTTATGGTACCGCCGACTCTAAACCGATTATTGCACGATAAATCAGGCTCTGTGAACGTGGACTCCCTTCCTCGCAAAGTTAAATATTTGCCCTAGTTTAAATTTTATAAAATACAGCCGAAAGGAATCCTAACAAATGTCTCTTTGCAAGAGCGAGTAGTTTTTCTACGGATTTATTAAAATACGTATACTCTTGAAGGTTATTTTAAAAACGTTGTGGAAGAGGTTTTTTGATCTTTTGTTTCGATTAAATGCTGTCTTTGGCACATTTCAATGTAAAACGTAAGCGTGCACTATGTGGTTTACTAAGTGAATGCAAAAATGTGGTTCGGATTCCACTATAAACTGTAGGTCCAGTAGTTGCCATTAGCTGTATGGGCTATTAATTAACAGCTGTGTCTAATGAATAAGTCGGCCTTAGTTACTAACAAGACTACAAGATCACGCCACTCATCCTACACTCATCTTCATTCATACTTGCCTTAAAATACCTACTTTGTTTGGTCGCCATTTCATTGAAAAGTATTTAAAAGTATTAAAACTATGTTTCAAGTAGGCTACACATGCTAAACTCAATGTTGAGTATAATAAAAATGTCAATTGCAAAATTGTGACTAACAATTAAAATTTAATTAAGTCTAACTTTAACGTATACATTATTATGTCTTTTAGTTAATATCAAACGTAAAGTAGCCAATAAATGAAGAGCAAATGTGGTGCCTATTTGGGAGATTAAGAAATTTAAGATGAATATAATAACAGTACCATAGGTGATACGTCAATAAATTTATTACTGCAGAAGTATTGGGATAAGTGAAGAGAAGGGGGTGAGCGATAGGTCCCCTTCGAATCATCCGCACATTTCACTGTTATTCATTATCCCCACGGTAGTGATCAGACCATGCCCCCCCCATCCCCCCCCCCTCGTGACCTCAGGTGCGAACTAAACCCATACTTCAGTATTACACACTACTAAATTCTTGTATTACCTATGTATAACACATTTGTCTTCAAGGAACTAAGTTGATTTTTTTACATTAAAATACATTATAACGAAAGTAATAAACTATACAATTTGATTCTATCACATACTTCTAACGTTCAAACACTTGCATTACATAGTTTTATTTTGTAAATGGACTAACACAGATTTTCTCTCTAATTTGTATTTACAATGATACATAGTATTGATGGGTAAACAATTTTTGAACAAAGAACTAATAAGGGAACTTTTTCCCCTTTCATATTGGGTTTAAGGTTTGTATCTAATATACACCATTGAATAATAGTTTTTACTTTGATGATTCGTTAAAAAGATATCTGTTAAAAAATGTAATTACTTTGAGAATTGAAGAAAATACGGACAACCGAATAAATTCAATGTTTTATATGTACACAAACAATCAAAATAATAACATTGAAAAATAATATCAAATTCTTTACTGAAAATTTCAACCGTGAGTTCTAACTATATCCGTTTTCTTGACAATCATGAATCTCAATCGTGTATCAACTCAAGCAATTCTAATACAAATACATTACACCTGATTAGTACTGTATTTGCAGACTGTATTGTGGTGAAGAGTGTTTACCATGATTATTAAAAACGTAACCATACCAATTACATATAACAGTCTGGCATACAATAACATCTGAATATATGAAACACAGTGACTATGATTCATTTTGTGACACCATTTATGTTACTTTAAATCCAACAAAATGTATTAGTTTTTGTCAAGACGGCATCAATGCGTTTCTGTTTGTTGGGATTGTGCTTTCATTTCACGCGCTGTGCCTCTATAAGCCGGTCACAATACGAAGAGCAGTCCCGCAGCACAATACACCACGGATTCACACCTTCAAAACAATCCCTGTTTATTGAAAACAAATAGTGTAAACCTTAACAAGGTTTGTATTTTTGGAATATATTCTAAATCCGTATAACATCAGGTGTTAATTTGGTTGCTTGGCTTAACCTCTGTACATAAGGTTTAGTAATGTGACGGTCGCTCGGTAGTTGCAGAAATTAGTGTATGATGTTGATTAACCCTTAAATTCCTCTGACTAGCTTCGTTTTAGCTTTTTATAGGAAAAAAGTTATTGCTATAATCTTCAGAGTAGGGCTTGGACCCGAAAAACACCTCATTTTACAGTTTAGGCACTTAAATCCAAATGCGCAGTTCGAAAATGATGTTTATTTACGTACATTTTGTTTTAGGAGGCAAATATTTTAGTCTGTTTTACATGATTATTCTATTAGTTGTGTTGTTACCGACACAGTATTAACAATGTTAAACTCAGTACGCTGTTTTCTGTGTCATCCTTAAGATAAGATTTAATGTTGATAGTTTATTATTTAGTATATCGTCATCAAATTTGGCAATTATTTCATCTTTTGGTAGGCTTGAAAGCTCAACACAAAATACGTTTGTTTTGCGTTGCAATGACTGTTGATTAAGTGTGATATTCATACAACATTGTATTTTATTCATACTAAAGGAAGAGAGTGTGTGAGAATGTAAGATTAATTTCACTGTTATGAGCCTGTTTAGATGGCAATTCAAAAACACCTGGACAT